CGGGGAGAATCGCCTCCCGCGCGGGTGGCGCTGGGGCGGGAGCACGGGGCGCGAACGCCAGCCGGGACCGTTTCCGCTGCGATTCGGAAATGTGCCTAAGCCAAGCTCACTGCATAAATCTGTGTTTCTCCCAGCCTTGCAGAGTTGTAAGCCCCTCTCCCGGCGCTGGCCGGGAGCCTGCAGAGACGAGCAGCGGGCAGCATCGATGCAGCAGGACCGCTGGTAAGTTCGACTCAGTCATCGCAATCGGTTTGATTCCCGATTATTCTGCTCCGGAATCAAGCTTCCTCTGGGTAAGTCGCAGTGTAGTACGCGTATGTGTAAAAAAATTATTGCAATCGTGTTTTTAATTAAAATGTGTAAGATAATACCAAAAGGAGAGAGGAGGAGGAAGGGAGGGAGCCCAGATTAAGTTTTTAATTGTTTTAATAGTGAGATTTGGTTCAGTGAGAACAGGGCATATTGGTTTCCTTGGAAACATTGGCGCTGTATTAGCTGTATAAAGTCTAGCATAAAAGATTTGAAAATAGTAAAGCCTTTAGGTTTGCAGTGATGCTGTAACGCACTTCATTTGGGAAATCAGATTCGCGCATGGCCCCTGGAGTCCCCAAAAGGAGTCGTTTTTGTGTGTCCTCTTAAGCCTTAGGATTAATCGTTTCACCAGTTATCGGAGTTATTAGAAATCTAAAATGGTGACACCAAAACAAACCAACCAAAAACCCTTAAACGACTCAGTATCCCTGACTCAAAGGGTTTAGTCAGGCGTGCCTGCTCGGCCTGCTTGGGCTCGGGCAAAGCTCCACGGGGTTTGAGCGAGAAGTGTCGAAACTGGGCTTTTTTATCGCTTCGCTATAACTGAAAATTATTGGCTTTGTAGCACTAGGTAACATTGTATATACAACCTATACCTGAAGTTAAATATTGGGGGTTTATTCTCTTTGTGAAACGAAGCTCTCCAGTATCGACTTTGTCTCTCCTGTAGGGATTGAAACCTTGGGAGGGAGTTAACAGCTCCTTACAGTTGAGCCGGGCTGAAACAACCACTTTTAACGTCTGCGGTTCGCCTGTGAGCCGAGCGGGTGACGATACAGCGCATCTGGGGATCCAAATACTGCAGGAACTCTCTCTTTCAAACAAAAGGGGGAAAAAAAGCCCGCCGATAAAGTAGCAGCCGTAGCGTTTGGGACTATCAGCGAGGAGACGGGGTGGTTGGCTTTAGCACGAACGACTAATCGCTCCGTTGAAATCATGTCAGCAGCTGAGTAAATAGCCTTTCGGGAAAAGACATTTATGGCAGTGTTTGTGTTTCCAGGACCCGGCCTCTGTCCGGGCCCTCCTAGCAGGCAGAGCAGCCGCTGCCGAGCGTGCCCCGGCTTTAATGTCATGCACCGGGCCACAAAAGCCCTTTTCAGCTGAGAACAGGAGGCGCGTCAGAAGTCACTGGGCGATGATGTCACGGGTTGGTGTCTGCTTTGCACCGCAGAAGCACAAAATAGGGTTACGGGCCTGTAGGGCACTGAACACTGGCGTGGCGGGAGCATGTGCACGCAGTGTGGGGCCCTGCGCCCGTGCGCTGCAGTGCAATGCAGCGCAGCGAGGTGCAGTGCAGCGCAGAGCGGTGCAGTAAGTGCAGTGCAGCTGGGAGCAGTGCAGTGGGGCGAGGTGCGGTGCAGGGTAGCGCAGCGTGGTGCAGGGTGGTGCGGTGCAGTGCGGTGCGGTGCAGCCTGCGCC